AGCTGGCCGTGATTGATTCTTGTCTGGGATCCCCATGCTTTTTGAGTCTTGCTCTTTATTTACTGTTCTGATTTTAGGGCGTTTTTAAAATACTGGTTGCCACATTTTGTTCATTCTCAAGGTTTCCTCCTTTCTGTTGAAATTGTCCACATACTTCATGTCAATTTCAATGCCTTCTTTGTGTAGTCTGACATGGTAGTTGTTAAGAGTGGTCCAGCATTTTTGTGTTCTCAAATACTAAGGTAAAGGTAAAGATTTTTCCCCTGAAATTAAGTCTAGTTGTGTCTGACTCTGGGAGTTTGTGCTCATCTCCATTTCTTAGGCCGAAGAGCTGGTGTTCTCCGTAGACACCTCCAAGGTCATGTAGCCAGCATGACTGCATGGTGCGCCATTACCTTCCTGCCAGAGCGCTATCTTTTGATGTACTCACATTTGCATGTTTTTGAACTACTAAGTTGGCAGAAGCTGGGGCTAACAGCGGGAGCTCGCCCGCTCCCCAGATTCAAACCTGCGACCTTTCAGTCAGCAAGTTCAGCAGCTCAGTGGTTTAACCCACTGCGCCAACAGTGGCTCAAATAATACGCTCTAGAAACGGCAGTTTTCCTTCATTTTCTTTTTCCATGGTGAATTGGATGTTTGAGTGGCTGCTGTTGAAGTGGTCCAGGAACCTTTTCAGTTCTTCTTCTCCATGGCTCCAAATGGTGAAGGTGTCATTCGCATATCTATGGCAAGGTGTCATGACATAGCAGAGCACCTGATAAACCATCCTGGGCACAGCATATTATTTGGACAATTTTAACATTCACACGTACCTCAAGCAGAGAAGAGTTCAGATTGTTAGCTGGAGCAAGTTACAGAGAGCGGTCAACCCCCTTGTTCAAACAGCTCCATTGGCTGCCGATAAGCTTCTGGTCCCAATTCAAGATGCAGGTTATCACCTATAAAGCTCTAAACAGTTCAGGACCTGCCTATCTTCGTGACCGCATCCTCCCCTACGAGCCCACACGGTCCTTAAGATCTTCCAGGGATGCTCTTCTCTCGCTCCCACCCCCGTCTCAGGCGTTGTTGGTGGGGATGAGGGAAAGGGCATTCTTGGTGGTGGCCCCTCATCTCTGAAACTCCCTCCCCAGAGAGATTAGGCTGGCACCCTCCCTATCCACATTCCCTAAGGAACTAAAGACGTGGATGTTTCGTTGTGCATTCGACTGACGACTCCTTTGATAGATGGTTCCTAACCATGAGCTGAATTCAAGTTGTTATATTTGATTACTACACTTTTAAGTTAAGCTGAAATGATCCTGTTATAATTGCTCTATTTCTATGCTACTATATGCTCTATCCACCTTATTGACCAACCTATCCTTTAACTCATTTCCACATTGGCCCCCTCCCCCCAAAAAATGAGACTAGAAAAATCTCTGTTATTGCTTATGATGCTTGTTTATTATTGTTTATGATGATGCTGCTTTTATGGTATTTAATATGTTATTGTTCTGTTTTTAATCGTATGTTGCCTTGGGCTTGGCCCCATGTAAGCCGCCCCGAGTCCCCTCAGGGAGATGGAGGTGGGGAGAAAAATAAAGTTCTTCTTCTTCTTCTTCCCCTACCCTGGACATTCCACAGATATATAAACCTGTAAAACTGTATATATATTTGAGGATAAGCTGAGCTTTTCAGCACTTTTTTTTAGGCTGACATAGCCCCCCTCAGCTTATACTCGAGTCAAAGTTATTTATTATTTTACTCTGTTGTTGTTGTTATTACATTTATTACTTTAATCTTATTATTATTATTATTATTATTACATTGACATTATTACATTTATTATTATTATTATTATATGTATTATTTTTACTATTTATTATTATTTTTAATTTTTATTTTATTACACAAATAATTACAATAGTAAAACCACAATTAAACATTACTTTTACTTACTTACTTACTTACTTAGGAGCCCCCGGTGGCGCAGTGGGTTAAACCCCTGTGCCGGCAGGACTGAAGACCGACAGGTCGCAGGTTCGAATCCAGGGAGAGGCGGATGAGCTCCCTCTATCAGCTCCAGCTCCTCATGCGGGGACATGAGAGAAGCCTCCCACAAGGATGATAAAACATCAAATCCGGGCATCCCCTGGGCAACATTCTTGCAGACGGCCAATTCTCTCACAATATGAGTGTCGCTCTTGACACAAAAAAATAAAAATAAAAAATTGAGCCACCATGTGAACATGTTCAATTTGCTTATGAGAGGACTACCACTAAATTTCACACAGGTTCAAATATGAAACTGTTCAAATGGTTTAATCAAAGTTGGACAGTCTTATCTTAAATTACAGTTTTATGTAAACATTCAAAAATATTTAACCTACTGATGCCTCAATTAATATAATTTTGTTGGTATCGTATTTTTATTTTGAAATCTACCAGTAGCTGCCCCATTTCCTGCCCTCAGCTTATACTCGAGTCGATAAGTTTTTCTAGCTTTTGTGGTAAAATTAGGTGATTCAGCTTATATTCAGATTATATTCAGGTTGGCTTATACTCAAGTATATATGGTGCTTAGTTTCCAACAGATCCCTCAACCTCTGAGGATGCCTGCCATAAATGTGGGCAAAACGTCAGGAGAGAATGCTTCTGGGACATGGCCATACAGGGAAAACTCACAGCAACCCATGTAATCAGATAATACTTTTGCAAGAGTAAACTAATTTTACTCAGATGGGCTTACTCTTGAGTAGAAGTATAGGTCTTGTCCATTGTGAGCTTATGAAAATGGAGTGCCACATTTCAGTATGTGACTGTACACCCAAAAGTTTTGTTGTGAAGTTTATGCTTAATGTGCTTAATGTTTATGCTTAATGTGTGGATTTCAGGTGTAAACAATAATTTAGCACAATATAGTTTTGACATTCTATTGAGCTTCGAATTCAGTATCAGTGGGGAAAGTCCTTGCTCCAAATGAGAAGAAACTCATTGATATATGTATCATGCTGTTTAGTCTTCTGCATACTTACCTGGAAGTAAATAACATTTCCATTCAAAAGTGTTAAGTGTATAATGGATTTGAACATGCTTAATCAGAAGGAAATTAAACTTACTTCAGTTAGGGTTTTGCAAAAGAAATTGCATCCCAGGTTGTTGCATTCTTAGTTGATAAAGATCCATCCTAACATGTTATGGCAGTTTACTTGAGACAAAAGATGCACCATAATGGGTATTATTCACAATTATTCCCCAAATTTAAAGTTTTCATGAAGTTTAGCATCAGTGGAGGCCACAGTTTCTCTGGTTGTAGGTGAACTACAACTCCCAGAAAGGAAGGTGAGTTCCCCTCAAACCCCTCCGGTAATCAAATTTTGGCATATCAGGAATATGTGCCTAATTTGGTCCAGATCCATCATTATGTGGGCTCACAGTGCTCTCTGGATCAAGGTGAACTACAACTCCAAAACTCAAGGCCAATGCCCACAAAGACCTTTCAATGTTTTCTGTTGGTCATGGGAGTTCTGTGTGCCAAGTTTGGTTCAGTTCCATCGTTGGAGTTCAGAATAGTTTTTGGTTTTAGGTGAACTATAAATCCCAGCAACTACAATTCCCAAATGACAAAATCAACCCCCCCCCCCCCAAAAAAACACCCCACCAATACTCAAATTTTGGCATATCAGGTATTTGTGAATTTCTCCCTAAGACTTCTTGTATTTTTTGCTGGTCGTGGGAGCTCTGTGTGCCAAGTTTGGTTCAATGTGTGCAATAGGCCATAAGAGCACCTAAAGCTTTGGAGAGCTTCTGTTCAACCATCTCAAAGCTCCCTGCTTGAGTGGTGATGGCACCATCATTAGCATAGATGAAACCCAGCTACCCGTGGTGCTATTACATTAATGCTTTATGAAGATCACTTGTCTTAAGGTCTGACTTCTAACTAGGTCACACCATTCTTGACTAGTGGTTTTCAGGTGGTCTCTATGTTCATAGAGATTCACATTTTGCCAAATGGAAGTAACATCATGTTTACCTTTGCAATAATGTTATGGTGCACTAGAATTTCCAATAAATTATGGACTTTATGAGAACTACTGCTTTAGAGTAAAGAAACACCTTCCACGGCACATCCTATTGAAGTCCTGTATTTTCCCCAAACAGATCTGTGGATGTTGGAGCTTAGCCTGTGGTTGTGTTTCAGGATCAGGGTGCTTTGGATGTGGGAAGTGATGTCAATAAGTTGCAAGATGGCAATGGTTTGGTCAATGATATTGATGCAGAGAATGACCAGGAGATCCTTATTCAAAGTGCAGTTTCCCATGAGAATGTTCCTGAGGGGTGTGGGGATGATGGTGTGCTCCCTGAATTGTTACCAGAGTTTTCCCATAAAAGGGAACATGAAAACAGCTCAGCACCTGGCTCAGCGGCAGTAAGTAATGAGGAAATAGATAGACGAGAGGAGATCAGTCAAAATAGGAGAGCTGAACAGTGACTTCTACGTTCTGCTAGGCTCCGAGAGCAAAAGATAAGAAATTCTCAGCTAAAGCGAAAACAATTTCTGAGTGTTAGAGACATAGCTGATGAGGAGATAAAAGTCCCAAGTACAGGATATGTAGTCAGATGAAGCATTGTTTGAAATCAAGTCAATATCTCATCCCTGTTTCATGGAAGCTTTGCTTGGAAAATTCATGTTTTAAGTGTTGTTTCATGGTTTTGATTCTTTGATTCTATGCTTTTATATTCATGCCCTGGATCCATGTTTCCTGATTTCTTGAATTTTATTTGGGAAGTTTTGACTTTGTTTTTATGGACTTGGCTGGACTATTACCCTGGAGTACTTTGTTCCTGCTTAACTTCCTATCTAATTGGATTTACCTATTTCTTTAAAGTGCTTTTTGCTTTATTGCTTTTTAATTATCTTCAATAAAAGGATTGTTTCCCTATCCAACATTGTAGTGTTTAAAGTCAGAGGGCTTTTCTTGTCCTGGAGTGCAACAGTGGATTTATTAAGACACCAACACTTGTCCAATGTATTCCCTTTATTGAACTGTATTAGTTAATGCAATCAGATTAAGTCACATTTATAAAGCAGACCATCCAGTTGCACTGAAACCGATGATATTCATTACATAGTTTCTTTTTATTTTTAATCACTGTCCGGTGAACTGGCAAATCCAATCAAAGCATTAGTCTTTAATTGTTTTTAAAAAAAATCCAAAAAAGTGTAAAAAAAATATTCAGACAATAGCCAAGCCATCACATCACAATGCACAATTACCTAAAATTGCAATTAAAAAGCAGTTAAACAGGGAAGGAGGAGGGGAAAGAAAAGGAAAGCAAAGCAAAGAAGGGAGAAAAAAAATCACTTCTAAAATCTTGGAACTATCCGTATAATACAAGAAGCAACAAAGGGCAAGAGCATCAAAGCAGCTTCCTATCTAGCAACTATAAATCCAGTCAGAAGCAGAAGCTTTTAAAGTACACTAAGCTCAAGCAGGACAATAAAAAATACTGCGCATGGAATACTTTTAATCTCTTCCATTAATATTCATTTCCAGCTGCTTATAATAGCAGCGCCTCATGGCCAAATCATTAGAGTTTTACATCTGGGTTGCAAATGACACTTTGATTGGATGTAATGTTCAAATGGTCCTCCCCACTGAGTTTCCGTCAAGTCTTCTGCAGAGAGGTGTCCCGTCGAGTCGGGGGCTCACTGAGCGTGCTGGCTCAACGTGTGGTTCTGCAAAAAGATGGGGGAAAGGAGACGTGCGTGAGGGGCAGAATAATAGCGCGCGAACCCGGACCCTCCTACTCAGTCGCGTTTGTGCAGAACCCAACATAAAAGCTTTGCAATTATTACAGAACAAAATGCAATAATAAGAAAAAAGGAAGGGGGAGAGAAAGAAAATGCTCCTAAGTAACAGCTGCCAACGTGACACGTTTGCTGTGAACCCATAGATCTGTTAATGCTGGCGTGAACTTAAGGGAAAGGGGTGGGGTGGGGGCACAAAGAGGAAGGAGAACACAACTCAATGAAATTCAGTTCGCAAAGTTGTGCCGAGAGGATTTCGCGGCATCTTGGTGAAGAAGCGACGGCCTCCGGGACTTCCTTCGCTGTAGCAGTTAAACAACGTTTGCTGTCATTTAGGAATGCCCACCCTTTTCTTTTTGCCACATCTTAGTTTATCTCGCTCAGCATTGATAGGATATCTAGCTGGAGAAAGATGACAGACTGCAATCCATGCATAGACACATGGTTGAAAATTGGGGAAATAATTCAGATATACCAATTGCTGCATTTTGTCCAACCTGAATCTGCGAAGCCCACCTCCTCCA